CTAGCCTAAAAGAAGTGAGGAATGCTTTTTTCCTTTCTGCCATTAAATAATTAAGACAAAACCCTTACTTGACTTATGTAAAGTCTCTTTCAGGGGAAAAAGACAAAACAAAAAACAAATCTTTTGAAAACCCTCAACCCTGTTGCTCCTCATATTTCCTGACAGGTTGATGCTTCTCTGAAGCAGGAATAAGCATTTATTAGTTAACTATTTCTATGTGAAAATTAAAGGCAACTTGATAGGAGTTTAGTTTTTCAATATTGTACGAAGGAGATAACACATTTAGTTTAATGAGTGGTCAAAAATATACCAACAAACTCCAGGTTTGGATGATTGCTCACAGGATCCACAGCTCTATTTTAGAGCTATTTTAGCCCCATATATGTTAAAAGAGAGAGAGAGGGAAGGAAAAAGAAGGGGGGGAAGGAAGGGAAGGAGGCTCTATGCCAATAGACACAAACTGCATTGCCCCCAGGGAGAGCATCTGGGACGCTGGGGGGCCCCTGACCTGCCGCTCCATCTGGCCCTGGCACTCGCTCTTCATGGCCTTGAGCAGGGCTTCCAGGCGCTGCAACTCCATGTTGCGGTCGTCCAGCTCCCGCCGCAGGTGGTCGATGGTGATGCTGTTGCCCGTGTCTCGGTCCCACAGACGCTTGTTCTGCTCCTTCTCCAGGCTCAGCTCTTTCTCTCGTTTGTGCAGGTCAGCCTGAAAGAAGCAGGGGATGTGTTTTTCCTTCCTGCTATCAAATAAGTAAGATAAAACTCTGATTTTCTTTATATCATCTTTGGAGTTTTAATATGATTTAAGAAACCTTTGATTTTGGAATCTCTTTCCTTTTCAATGGCTTGTTTAAGATTATTTCCTAGAGGCTCGGCGCCTGTGGCTCAAGCGGCTAAGGCGCCAGCCACATACACCTAAGGTGGCGGGTTCGAATCCCCAGCCCGGGCCCACCAAACAACAATGATGGCTGCAACCAAAAAATGGCCAGGTGCTGTGGCGGGCGCCTGTAGTCCCAGCTACTTGGGAGGCTGAGGCAGGAGACTTGCTTGAGCCCAGGAGTTGGAGGTTGCTGTGAGCGTGATACCATGGCACTCTACCCAGGGGGACAGCTTGAGGCTCCGTCTCAAAAAAAAAGATTATTTCCTAGAAAAATAAGTCAACATTGTTTCACTTTACATTTTTAAAACTACAAATCAATCTCAAGGGACTAGACCTCAAGTAATAGACAAAAAAGAAAAACATAATAGATTTCAAGTCATCTTGTTGTTTTTTTTTCCGAGACAGAGCCTTGGGTAGAGTTGCCCTGGGCAGAGTGCCGTGGCATCACAGCTCACAGCAACCTCCAACTGCTGGGCTCAAGTGATTTTCCTGCCTCTGCCTCCCAAGGAGCTGGGACCACAGGCACTCGCTACAACACCCCAGCTATTTTTTTTGGCGGGGGGGTTTGCAGCTGTCATTTGTTGTTTGGCAGGCCTGGGCTGGATTCAAACCTACCTAGCTCAGGTGTATGTGGCTGGCGCCTTAGCTGCTTGAGCCACAAGCACCAAGCCACAAGTCATCCTATTTTTAAGTCTTGAACTTTCTAACAAAAACATTATGCTTCATATCATGTGTGCTCCTATAATAAAGACATGCTTAAAAGCTTAAAGAAATAATGACAGTTGTCAGTATGCTGCTTCAGGGACAGCAGAATAGCAGCAGGTGCTGGGACTGGAGTCGTACCCAGACTGTGAATAGAGTAGAACCACTCCCTTAAGTCAATTTTAAAAAGTACAGCAGAACCTCTGTAAGGTGACCACCGAAGGGAATATGACAACCTGGGCAACATGTGAAAGTGGTCAATACCTGGAACGAGGCCTGCTGCACTGATACGTACGTGTGGTCCAATCTGTGACACTCAGGTCAATTTAAGGAGGTTGTCAATGTAGGGAAGTCGTCAGTATGGAAGTCCTAGTGTATTTACTATGATCAAAAACTCTGTAGTTGAGTAGGAGAAACAAAGACACCCTGACCTTTAAGTGATTTGTCACCCAAGAGAAAGCTAAGACGTGGACACACATAAGTACAGGTGGTTTTTCCTTAAGGGACAGATAAGAAATAGGAGGGCCCACTAAGCAGATGAAAATGCTTCTGAAAGGCATTTGAGTAGGACTTTGGAAATAGCTTGGAGATGCAGAGATTAGACAGCAGGGATGGGGCAGGGGCATGAGAGCTCTGCTTGGGCTACTGGGTCCATGCCAAAAGCAGGGTCTGGAAAGGTGAGCAGCGGCTAGAGGATGACAGTCTCCAAAGGGAGGGAGTCTGACTACCTAGAAAGTAATTTTTGAGTTGAATGAAGAGTGACAACACCACAGTTACATTTTAGCAAGGTGAATATGGCAGCACTCCAGAGGATGGTGGGAAGGCGGGGAAACTGGCACCAGAACACCAGCAACAAAACTGCCGTGCTCCAGACAGGAGCAGTCAGGGGCTGGAACACGGGCGAGTGGTGAACAAAAGAATGAAAAGGTAGGACAGGTTTGAGAATCTGTCAGGCCATGTGCTCGCTAAGATTTTCAAACGAGATATGAGAACACTGGGTAACATGAAAATAGGAAGAGAAGTGAGGGATTGTGGCAAGGGTGAGGGCTTCTCCACACCGCTCAACAAGGCCACGAGGGCCTGCAGAGGACGCCTTACCCATGAACAGCACCACACTCTAGAGTGGGTTTGGTAGGAAGGAAATTTACTCTACGGCACTAATATCACCCAAAGAGGCACCAGAAGC